GATTCATTACACAGTCAAATTTTGTATGTATTTACACTAGAATTCCTTCAAGCGGAATTAATTGTCAAGGGCATTATAATGTTGCAATAACTAATAATTGTACAAATATAATTATACAAATCGCTAGAAATATCCCAAAGGGAATTGTTATGTAGTAATCATTAAATTTTTTTAGATATAATTTTTTTTTATTACTTATTCATTTTTATTTTTTTCATTCTCTAAAAATATCTTTTGAAATAAACTCAAGCAATCACTTAACCACAAATTCGCTCAACAATTTTAAAATTTATCTTTTTAACGCGAGAAGTCTTGCCAACAAACTTAACGATTGTTTTTTATACAATAGTCAAACAAACCAAATTTGTGTTTGTGAAACTTTTTTCAATGATAAAATCCCGAACTCCATGGTCTATTCAAAAATTTGTTCCATTTATCGTAAGGATAAAGCATAAACAGGATAAACCTGCAAAGCAGCATTATATAACTCGTTATAATTCAGTATAGTTACCAACTTTGAACATTTTGTTTTACAAAATAATTTAATTAGTTCAATCCTGCTATTATCCCGAAAATCCCGGGATTTTGTGTTTAGAATCCCGGGATTTTCGGGATCCAAAAACGTCCGGGATCCCGGGATCTCGGGATCCGGGATCCCGGGATTGCAATCCCTAGTGAAGATATATTCAGTTTATTTATTTTGTTTTATAGTCAAATTTTAAAATAAATATTTTAAATCGAAATTTATTCCTAATGAGAAACATTTACATACTGTTTTGAATTGTTCAAAAGAGATGTTTTTAAGAATGTTATTTTTAATAATTTTTTGAAAAAATTCATTCCATAGAAATGGTCCACGATATTATTTGGAATGAACTGAGTTTTAAATAGAATCTTGGAACTACAAAATTATCATTTGAAAAATTAGTGGGATACTTATGAGAAATTTTAGTAAAGTAAGAGTGAAATATATTACGCGACAAACCATGTTTGGATTTAAACATGAACAGCATAACTTGATATATATTAAGTTTATAAACATTGAGTGCATTGAGTTCCATTAAGAGAGGCTCTCCATGAGCAGTTCTCTTAACGGCAAAAATAATTCTGCATACCATTTTTTGTTTACTATAGATTTTTTTAAGCTAGTATAGTTGCTACTTCCCCATGCAATATTGCAATAGGTTAGATAACCATGGATAAATGGAAAATATATAATTTTTAAAGACTTGATATTAAGAAATGGTTTAACTCTATATAGAAAAAAAATATTTTTGGAAATTTTATTTTCAATAGATTTTATATAGGATTTCGATGATAAATTTTCATTTAATATTATTCCCAGGAAGTTTACATTTGATTTTCTTTTAATAACTGAATTATTCATAAAGCGATCGGGCAATTTAAGAGGGAGGTGATCACTCTTACTAGGATTATGAAACAACAAGAATTTAGTTTTTAGTACATTTAATGGAAGTTTATTACAAGTGATCCAATTATTAACTTTTATTAGTTCTTCATTAAATATTTTAAAAAGATCTTTTATATTATTATTTGAGTAAAAAAGATTAGAGTCGTCAGCAAACAAAATAAGATTTAAAGTTTTGGAAGCTAAATATAAATCGTTAATGTACAACAAAAATAAAAGTGGTCCTAAGATGGATCCCTGGGGAACACCACAAGTTATAATTTTGTTTCCTGTTTCATTTTCTTTATACACTATGTATTGTTTCCTGCTTGACAGGTAATTTTTAAACCAGAGTAAGTTATTGTTTACTACTCCATAGAGTTCAAGTTTTTTTATAAGAATGTCATGGTCAACTGTGTCAAATGCTTTTGACAGATCAATAAAAACTCCTAGTGTATGACAATCGTTATTGAACCCATCGGATATATTGTAAATGTTAAATTCATAAACTCTAAAACATTTATATCTATGAATAAAAGTTTCGTATTTAAAAAACGGTTTGAAAAACAAATTTTCTGCATAGCATGTTTCTGATGCTGATAAAAACTTATTTTTACCTGTCCTTCCTCACGCAATATTGGCATAGTTTATATAGCTATGAATAAATGACTATTATAGTTATTTTATATTATTTTTATTTAAATAATTTCTATAGAAATTAATTAAGGCTATTACCTTATATAGGATTCAAATTTTTTTTTTGCAACTTTTGATGATATATAATGAATATGAATTTTCCATAACAAATATTTATCAAGATAAATACCAAGTTACCTAATAAAGGAACCTTCTTTAATTTCTACTCTATCAATAAAAAGTTTAGGTAAATCTTTTGGCAAAAGATGTTTTTTTGTTGAGGAACGGAAAATATGATCAGAAGCTTTATTTAAACCATTGGTATATAAAGACTTCAACGGAAGAACGATCAGAGTCACACTTTTGCTGTTTTGAGAAAATCAATTTTTAGATTTAAATTCTGATTGTTCTACCAATGTGTGATGTTTTTAAAAATTTTCAAGTTGTTCTCTTTTTTCATAAAAATTAGGTAAATCGTTATCTTTTATCATAAAAATAAGGTAAATCGTTGTTGTCTTCTTTCATAAACAACTTTTTTTTTAAGTCAGATGTCTCTTCGAGTAGTTTTGAACTTTTTTCAGCTACTTTTTCTGACGTGATACACTTCTAGAGGCACATTTTTATCAATTTTTCTTTTTAATTTGGTTCACTACTAGTTTTAAAACACTTATAATTGCTGCTATCTCTCTGAGAACGAAAAATTTGTACTTTCCTTAAATTTCTAGTGGTTAAAAGAATAGAGGAATAGTAACGAAATGTGATTTTTGTATTATGGCTAGCAAAACTAGCAAATTAATAATCAATATTTACGTTTTGATAGTCCTGAACTCAAAAAACTTACTAAAAGTTATTCCAAAAATGAATAATCGAACTCACAACAACACATTTGTCACTAATTGACAGGTAAATGAGAAATAACCTGATATTTTGATGGGGTAGACTGACAAAACTGCCACATTTTAAAAACAATAATAATCTATATCAGTAACTAAGTAATTGATATCAGTAACTAAGATAGACAAGAAAAATCTTAATACTTACTTGCTCGCGAAATTCATAACTTTAAAATTTCAAAAAAAGTAAACTGCCCTAAATGATTTGACCACCCACTGTAATTTTCGGCTTTTGATTTGTTGTTTTTGACAATATCAGAAAATATTTTATCGTTAGCAACAATTTATCGTTAGCAATAATTTTCAGTTTATGATAGCAGCGGTTTTTACCAGAAAAATGAAAAATCCAAATTTGTCAGTTAAATGTGCAAAACACATTTTTGAAAAAATCGTTCTAACTTTAGACAGCTAAAAATATTCAAGCCAAAAAATTTCAAAAAAAATTAATTTGAAATATGTTTACAGACATTTTTGCTACCTTTTATATAAATTTAATGGTATATTTACTTAAGCTCTGAAAAATTTACTTTAAAATAAAATGTCATAAACAAGTTTTGTGCAACGGTTTTATCTAAGGATAAAAGGGGTAAATTTTTTTTTTAATTACAAAAGTATATAAGTTCGTATTACAAAAGTATATTTAAAATAAAAATATATAATGATAATACAATTTGATTGTATAAATAGAAAAGAAATGTGGATACTTGCTAAAGACGACCTGGTCTAAAAAATATCTCAAATACAAGAACGGAAAAAAAAATTCAAATAGTTCATGACAACTTTTAAAAACAAATAACAGCATTTATGTATAAATTTCACATTTATACAGAATAATAAATAAAAATCAGTATAATTTAAATTAAACATATCAATTGAAAAAGTACTGCTTTTAGTTCTTTTAAACAAATTCCAATCTAAAAACATTTTAATAACTCCAAAAAAATATGTTTTATCAATATTTGTTTAGAGAATCGATTTTATAAAAAAAACTATAATTTCTTAAATCACAGATAAATTGTTTTCGATTACTTTCAGAAAAAAATATACTTAGGGGTTGTCCATTAATTACGTGAACAAAATAAGGAGAGAGGGAGGGTCTAAACTTTTTTGACAATTGTTGACACGGGGGAGGGGGAGGTCAATTGAAGTTGACGTCAACAATTCTTTTTTTTTTTTTGAGTTTCATTGCTTAAATAACGGAAAATTAGGCTGAGTTTGTAAGGTATTTTCTTTGTATAGGGGGGGGGGGGGGGTAATCAAAAGTTGACGTAATTTTATAGGGGGAGGAGGGGGGTCTCTGGAAATTTGACAAATTGTTGACAAGGGGGAAGGGGGGACGTAAAAATTTCAAAAAATTTGTTGACTTAATTAATGGACAGCCCCTTAAGTATTTTTGTGTGTATTGCTATTGATGAAATTGTATAAGAAATTTTCTCAATTCAACATTCGTTGTAATATTATATATTGAATCTCAAACTACATGATAATCTTATTCATATAAGTGACTAAGTGTATGTTGAGATCTATTTCAATAAATCCAGCCAGTTCTAGACACAGTAAAATCTACTTATGATGAACTTCTTAACTTGGTCTGAATTAATTTTCTAACCTGCCTGTTCTCCTTCCATAAATTATTTACAAAATAAGGAATATTTAAAAGGAAGTTTCTTGTATACTAATAAAGACAATTCACTTCTGGTATACTAATAGACATTTACATGCTACGTGTGACACGGTAAAAAATGTTATGGGTGCAGACAGAAGACGTCAATACTCAATACGTCATGCAACTTTACTTCATTAAAATATTAAGAAATTTTAAAAAACTTCTTTCTTGCGATAAGGCAAATTAATTCAATCATTTGAATTAACTTGTATTGAATATAAATTGAATAAATTAAATTTTCTTCAAACAACTTTAGTTTGTTTGTTATAATTTAATAAAAGACCATTCAAACTTATAATAAAATAAAATATTGAAATATTATTCATAATATTATATATATATATATATATATATATATATATATATATATATATATATATATATATATATATATATATATATATATATATATATATTAACAATTTATTAAGATAGATTAACTATGAGCTCGGAGAGCAGCTTTAGAGCAGAATACTTTTTAGTGATAGTGAAATTCAATACCCGTTCTTTTTTAATAATAAATTTTTCAAGCATCGGTAAGATCATCATTAAAATAAATATGAATGGAGGGCAAAAACATGTCTTCATCTAGGCCCAAAGTATAAAATACTTCACTCTCGTCTTCAATTTGGTTTTCCTCTAGAGTTTTTTCCATATCTAAATTTATGCCTCTGTATTTCCAAGTATAACTTGAAGCATGCACGTTGTAAAAGAGGTAACGTTGCAGAATTTCACTTATAGTTTCTTCACAACAAACCTATTTTATAAACAAAAATATAGGTAATTAAGAATATATACTATAATTAATAAAACAAAACAAAGAATAAGAAAATATAGATTAGTATTAAACCTAAAAATAAGAATAATAAAACTTTGAAAAGGAGGATAAAGTAAGATTAAGTGCGCCTAAGATTATAAGGCACAATTAATTTTACCTTGAATGCATTTAATGTTAAACACTAAATGCGTCTAAGATAACATTAATTGAAACATTAGGAGCGCCTGGAAAAGTGTGATTTTCATGTTTCCATAATGCTGTCAGCATTATGATGCTAGATAACATCTGAGTTACATCTCAATTAAGAATTTTTATTACATTTAAATGTAATAAAAAAAAATTTAAGATTTTCTTATAAAACAATTATTTGTTAAATATGTTTTACAACATGAAGTCTAAATTCAACTTTTAACAGATAAAAATCAAAATATAGTTTAGGAGCGCCTACGAATTTTTTGCAAGAATTATTTCAGGGTATCTGACTGACAATAATGCATTAAAAAATTCCAGATTTCTTTTAAATTAAACCCTTTATCTGAGAGCAGTAAATAACACTGACGTGAAGAAAATCTAAGAGCAATGAATAATATTATGAAAACCTTGTAAAAAATTAATTTTTTTCTTTTTTTTAAAGTATTTGAAAATTTATTTTTTATAAAAAATTATAAAAAAAGAAAATATTATTAAAGTGTTGTTGTAAAAAGTGTATGCTCTAAATATTATTTATAAAACAAAAAGTTAAAAAAAATTGCAGAAACTATCACTTTAATCTCAAATTAAAGAAAAAAATCAACCTCTAAAACTTGTTCATGTGATGTTAATGTGTTAATAATTCTTATTTTTCGAACTTTTTTAGTAAGAACTCCAATGCAGTAATTTATACTTTTCCACCATGGTCTTCCAAAATCATTGCACCAATCTGTCCTAGGACACAGAGGAGGTGTATGAAGAAATCTTCCCATAGGAGTATATGGAAATTGGCAGTTTGTAACTGGATCAATGCATAAACGTATCTAAAATTGTTTACTGTTCATTTTTACAATAAAATAAACATTAAAAATGTTAATTGTAATAATGAAGTAAAAACATAAAACTCTTTCAAATAATGAAGTGAAAAAATAAAATTCTTTGAAATTATGAGATAAAAAAATGAAAGTCTTCAAAATAATATACCCTATTACAATTTTTGTAATAGGGTAAAAAAAAATAACACAACTGTGTACAATTGTCTTTATTTTAAAATTATTTTTTTTATTTAAAAATAAATAAAAAAGATAGCTGTGCTTTAGATTTTTATACACAATCTGAAATTTATCTTTAACAACATTAGAAAATATTTTTTAATAAAATATATATTATCAACCCAATCAAAAACTATAATACGTACATCTTGTGTTTTTTTATCAAACCAATGAGATATATCTTTTCCTCCAGAATGCAAAATTGGTTTTAGTAAAGTATCACCTAAATTAGAAAATGTCTGGTAGTAACAAGTAAAAACTAACTTGGGCACACCTTGTTCTTGCAATATTTTGATGTTTTTTAAACCATCAAAATATCATAAATAATTCACTACTAATAGCAACAGGTACATCATTAAAGATTAAAAGAAAGTTAAACACTACATGTTTCCACATGGATGAGAAATTTTTTAAAAATAAATTTAAGGTAAAAACAAGGTGGAGAAAAAAATAGAGAGCTCAGGTAATGCTGCTAATCCTTCTGATGTGTAAGCAGAGATTTTGAAGCTTTAGAGAACGTGGCTGTTCAGTGGGTGTCAGATTTTTGCAATATAGTTGTACATGAAAGAAATCTCAATATTGCACTTTGTATAATCTTAAATTACTCATTTCTAAGTTGAGAAATGCCTGCTAATGGTTCAAAGCAAATATTACATCACCTTTCAAAAACAGGGAGAGGCTGCATGCATGTAATTACTATCTGATTTATTTGACCTACTATTATTCACTAATGGAAAACATTGGTAAAGCCAATGACACTATAATGAATCATTTAAGTTTAAATATTTTAATAATACCAGAACAACACGGATTTGTTAAAACAAAAAAATGAGCAACATTCCTTTTTTCAAAATTGGATATAATAATAGAAACAATAAATCTGTTAATGTTGCTTTTTTGGATTTTCCGAAAGCATTTAAGTCAGTTGCGCATTCTAAAATGCTTCTAAAACTGAACTCATTTAATAGTGATGGGACATTATCATAATGGTGTCAAGAAAATTGTAAACAAAGGATTATTTTAGGTTATTTTTTTTTTAATTTATTACTTAACAGATTCCTTTTACTAAATTTTGTTACAATGTAAGTATTGGTAAAATGGTTTTATTATTTTGGAACTACTTTTTATGAAATAACATATGTTTATATATATATATATAGGTTAAACAGTACAGTTGTTGGACATTTAAGGTATTACTTAACTTTATGTTGGTCTTTCATACATAATAAATGACACATACTTTGAAATTCATTGATATAATTAATGATATTTCATGATTATTTTTACAATTGTGTTTATTTTATGAATAATCTCACTATTTTACAACAAAAAAAAAAAAAAAAAATTTACGAAAAACATGCTGAAAAGTATTGAACACATGAACAATTAGAATCATGGATTATCATTGTTTGAAATTCATACACTTTTTATAACTATATTATGTAAATATATTTTCAAATGAAATATTATTATTATATTACATTTTAAAAAGTTCAACTCTTAACTAATTTTATAAGAAAATTCGCTATTATAATGCGCACACAGTAGAGCACAACAAAACATGTTTTTTGACATAAATATTGCAGAGTTAGCCAGTAAAGAAGGGATTATATGCAAAACTGTTTACGTAAAACATCTATGACAATATGGTACAAGCTTTTTCAAATCTATACTTTTTTTTTAAACATAAGTTCTGTAGCGCCCAATAATAGTATATATATATATATATATATGTATGTATATATATATATATATATATATATATATATATATATATATATATATATATATATACTATTATAATATAATATATATTTATAGCTAAACCATAAGTTTATTCATTTCACATTTTGTGGAAGATTTGTATTTTGAAGATCTAAACTTCATACTCGCCTAATACTCTCTTTAGAACACATTAGATAAAGTCTATTTCCCAAAAGACATTTGAGTCAATTAACACCTCTAGAAATGCCGTTAAATGTGGTATACTTTTTTAATTATTAAACATTTATTTAATAAACAATTATAGATGTTAAACAATTTTTTTTGATTGTGTTAGTATAAGAAACTAACTTTCAAGCCAACAAAAAAAATAACCTTGAACCAGAATTGCAAAAGAGAAATTATCGCATCAAAATTGAAACAAACAAAAAAAATCAGCAAAAAAAAGGAAACTTAAAATAATAATTTTCATAAACATAAGCCTTATAAAAGTTATTCTTTATTTTTTCAATGATTAAAAAAATTATAATTGTCTATGATTTTTACCTTAAAACTGCTTTACTAAAATATATAAGAAATATATTTAAGGAAATTAAATAAGAAAATCAAAACATTTTTTTAAACATTTTTTTGTTATTGCCATGTCTGTTCATAACAAAGAGAATAAAAAATTGGGACAGTATATTATGTAACCATGTCTTGCACTATGTATAATAGGAGATAATAAAAAGGGCGAAGTAATAGGTTACATAAAAACTAAAGGTAAATGGTAACTTTTCCTAAACTAAAGCTTTTAACAATACATGTTTTAGGATTAATATAATATAAAAAATGTCCCCATAAGTATTGAACTTCTAACTTTAATAATTTAATAATCACTAAAAATAATACTCAATTTGATTTTCACATTATTAATTTTAACTCTGCATGATGTTGCAATATAACTAATATCCAGAATATATTTTTTGTTTCTTGATTATTTTTCTTAACGAATTCATTCTTTTATTTTTAAACTTCATTTTAAGCAAGTTTACAAGCTCTCTAGAATAAAAAAAAGAGAAGATGATCTGTTTTAGATTTTCATGCACCACTAGGTGGTCCAAGCACTATAAAAAATATCTTTTCAATATAAACTCAAAATTGTTTCTTCTATTGATAAAAAATAATCAAAGATTGTAAAAACAACTTAAGTGGAAAGACTATTTGCTCTTATAATTGAAATATAAGTATACCAAATATAAGTTTATTATGCGTACATATATATATATATATATATATATATATATATATATATATATACATATATATATATATATATATATATATATATATATATATATACATATATATATATATATATATATATATATATATATATATACATATATACATATATATATATATATATTATATATATATATATATATATATATATATATATATATATATATATATATATATATATATATATATATATATATATATATATATATATATATATGTATATATATATAACTGACCATCTAGACTCTAAAGAGGTCATTTAAAGTTAGTTTGGCATAATATACACTCTGATTATTTTCATTTTACCAACTATTTTATTATAAATAGTAAATTTTTGCGTAACTTAAACTTATATTCTAAAAATTACGTAGAAACAGGAAGGAAAATGGATAAAAAAGAAAGAAAGATACTTTTTTATCCATTTTCCTTCCTTAAGTTAAATTTAAATTAAAATTAAATTTAACTTTAAAAGTTAAATTTAACTTTATAACTTTTTTTATTACAGTGTGCACCATATAAGCACTAGACGTGGTTATTTATCAAGAGCAAGAAAAGTGAAAATAAAAAATAAAGATAGTTCAAAAAATTATTTAAATTATTATACTTAAACAGAACATAATGTTTTTGAAAATAATGTTTTTAAACATATTTTTGTTTATAATGATATAAACAAAAATATGTTAAAAAACATTATTTAACGCTAAACTATTAACAGTTTATGGCAAGAAGAATATGTTTTGAATACTAAAGTAATTGGGTGTTATTTTTTGTTTTTCATGTTTGTTTGTTTTTTTGTTTTTTAACAAAGCCTATATTAGTGAAGGGAATCTTAAATAAAACAGAGTTTTATTACCTACCTTGATATTGAGCACACAAAGGAGATAAGTCATATACCTTTCCAAGATATGATACCCAGATATCTTTCTCTGTATTGTGCAGGCTGACTTCAAACGGAGTAAAATACTTAGGACGGTTATTCATTTCTTAAAACGCGACTCTTAATAGGCTCCTTCGTAACTAAATTGTTTTAATTGTTGTTGTTGTTTTTGTTGTTATGTTTAAATTTACGGCAAACAATTTTATGTTAAGACAACTGGTGAAGAGAGAAATGGGGTCAGATTTTGACATCACGAGTCGGAGCGGTTAATTAAGACTCCAAAAAGTTTGCATTTTATTTTTAATAAGATTTATACTCCCAGAGACCTTTACTATAGATGATTATAGCAGAATAATTATTTAAAAAAAAATTCTGGATTTATATAAAAATTTTTAGGAAACAAAACCCTTCAAAGTAAAAGGTTTCTTATAAAAAAAGCTTTATAAGAAAACGATTGTAATCATAAACAAAAATATATCAAAAGAAATTTATCAGAGACTGATATATTTTTGAATCACTCCAAGGAAATGGTCTCTATATAGATATATATATATATATATATATATATATATATATATATATATATATATATATATATATATTTATTTATATATACATATATATATATATATATATATATTATATATATACATATATATATATATATATATATATATATATATATATATATATATATATATATATATATATATATATATATTTATTTATATATACATATATATATATATATATATATATATACATATATATATATATATATATATATATATATATATATATATATATATATATATATATATATATATATATATATATATATATATATATATATATACTATATATATATATATATATATATATATATATATATATATATATATATATATATATATATATATATATATATATATATATATATATATATATATATATATATATATATATATATATATATATATATATATATATATATAGATATATATATATATGTATATATACATATATATATATATATATATATATATATATATATATATATATATATATATATATATATATATATATAATATATATATATATATATATATATATATATATATATATATCATATATATATATATATATATATATATATATATATATATATATATATATATATAAAGTTAAGTTAAATGTTTATGAGTCATTGTGCATTGAACTCGTTAATAAAACCTCCAAAAATATAATTATGCATGTTTTATACAGACCTCCTTCAGGTTCTATTAAAGTGTTTGAAGACCACATTAAAAAAGTCATTAAAAACAATTCTATTAAAAAAAAAAACTGTCTACATGATTGGTGACCTGAACCTCAATATTTTGGATTATGACTCAAACGTAAACATTAAACAATTTTTCGAAGTCATTTTTGAAAAAAGCTACATTCCTGTCATCAATAAATCTACTCGCACAACCAACAAAAGTGAAACTTCGATAGATCAAATTATCACCAATGACTTCATAAATATAAAGATAAAAACAGGAATATTTAAAACAGATATTTCTGATCATTTTTCCATATTCATCGTTGCCCAAAAATATAATGAAAGTGATTAACAAAAAAACAAAAAAATTAAAGTAATAAAAACAAGAATAGTAAACGACTCTTCAGTCAATCACTTTCATGACCTTTTATCAAGTGTTAACTGGGATGACATGTTATTGAATCTAAAGCCTACAATATTTTTGTATCAGAATATTATAACAAAGCATTTCTTAAAATTATAAAATTAGTTAAATCAAAAACGTTATTAAATCTTTGGATAACTAAGGGTATTCTTAAATCTTCTAAAATAAAACAACGATTATATAAGAAATTTCTTAAAAAAAAACCCTATGTAATGAAAGCAATTATAAAAACTACAAACGACTTTTTGAGTCAATTATAAAAAGATAAAAAAAAAAAACTATTATTCAGATCAGTTAAAAAAGCATTTAAAAGACCCACAAAGTACATGGCGCATTATCAAGGAAATCAATGGTAAAAATAATCCAGAGAAAAATACTTTTATATATATTTTAATATTATGCCTAACGATATTCTAACTGAAGAAAAATTATTATGCGCAGTGTCTTCGATTAAGCTCAAAAAAAGTATAAATGTTGGCAATATAAATGGAAACATTGTTATAAACTCAATCAAACTTATTACAATCCCGCTTTTGTATATCTTCAAAGAGGGAGTTTTTCCGGAAAAATTAAAAATTGCTAGGGTGGTCCCAATTTTCAAATCAAGCAATCCTGATGACGCTACTAATTATAGGCCAATCTCTGTTCTTACTTGTATTTCAAATGTTCTAGAACGAATTATGTACAATAGACTCTATTCTTTCTTAATCCAAAATAATATTTTGTACAACAAATAATTTGGTTTTAAATCTGGTCATTCTACTGATCATGCAATCTTACACCTTGTCCATGATATATTTAAAGGGTTTAATGAAAAAAAAATTACTTTAGGTGTTTTCATAGATAAGTTCTAAGTTAAGCCTTTGATACAGTCAATTATTTAATTCTTTTGTTCAAACTCGAGTTCTATGGCATCAAAAGTTCAAACTTGGCTTTGTTTAATAGTTACTTGTCTAATAGGAAGCAATATATTTCTTACGATGGTGGTAAAAAAGATAATATGATCAACACTTGCGGTGTTTACCAGGGATCAATACTAGGGCTCCTTTTTCTTGTTTCTAATTTATGTCAATGACTTGTATAAATTTTCTAATATTTTAAACACAATTTTATTCGCCGATGACACTAATTTATTTTATTCACATAAAGACATTAATATTTTATTCTTAACAGTTAACAAAGAACTTGATAAACTAACCCAATGGTTTAAATCCAATAAATTATCCTTAAACATTGTTAAAACCAAATACACATTATATCATCGTATTCATAAACAAGAAAATATTCCATTGAAACTTTCAAATCTTTTTATTGATAAAAATATAATAAAAAGAAAAATGTCTCTAAAATCTTTAGGCGTAATTCTCGATGAAAATATTACGTGGAGAGAACTTATAAGTGTAATTGAGAATAAAATTTCTAAAAATATTGGAATATATATAGATAAAGCTAATCAGTTTTTAAATCAATCTTGTCTAAAATACATATACTATTCATTTATACACTGTTACCTAAACTATGCTAACATTGCTTGGTGCAGCACCAATGTTACAAAACTAAGTAAACTTCTCTGCAAACAAAAACATTCCATTAGGATTATTACAAATGAAAATCGCTTCTCTCATACAAAAAATGCTTTTTAGCAAACTTAATATTCTAAATGTTTTTAAATTAAATCTCTATCATACCCAGCCGGCAAATAACGTTGAAATAACGTTGAAATATCGTTGAAACCTAACGTTGAATTAACGTTGGTTTAACGTTTAGAATGAAAGTTTTTTTCAACGTTGATTTATCAACGTTAAATCAACGTTAGGTTCAAACGTTATATCAACGTTGATTCGACGCAAAAAAACGTTACAATAACGTTGAATTTACGTTGATTTAACGTTTAGAATGAAAGTTTTTTTCAACGTTGATTTATCAACGTTAGATTCACACGTTATATCAACGTTAATTCGACGCGAAAAAACGTTACAACAACGTTGAATTTACGTTGATACAACGTTTAAAATGATAGTTTTTTTAACGTTGATTTATCAACGTTAAACAACGGTAAAACACTTTTTCACCATCAAAATGTGCTATGTATGTCAAAATGTATATATGTATGTAAACGTGCTATGTGCGTCAAAATATGATCACCATCAAAACGTACTATGCATGTACATTAGTGTTGCTGTACATTATCAAGGTATATTATGGATATTAAATCTATTCATAGTCTATACTTAGACTATTTAGAACTTTTTCAGTTTAGTTTAGTTAAAATAGCTAGGTATGATTAAAGAAAGAGATAAAACTTGTTTTATTCAAAAATACATATTCAAATATTACATATATTTACATGTAATTGAATAAAATCTACACAAATTTCTTCTCTTTTCCACCACCTTTTTGAAATAAAGCGTAATTTAGAAAGTCAAACAATGTTCCATTAACCGAAGGTTCTTTTGGTCCATTGAGTACAATATAAGAAGCTGTAAATAAAAAAATATATAAAAAAAAAACAAAAAGGGAAGATTGAAAAAATAAATAATGAATGGAAAAGTGTTACAACTTATGAAGGTATATCTTTTTCAACGCCATATAAATTAGTGTTCTTAAAACATATTTTTCCACCTTTGCCCTTCATATCCATGGAGGCCATATAACTTTTCGAAAATACTCTGAATTTTTAAAAAATAATATAACTGTTAGTTGGTTATTAATAACTTTTTCAAATATTTAATTTAAATAAAACAAACCTTTTTAATATATTAAAAATAAATTAATAATCATAATATAAAACATTTCTAGCATTGAAAAATAATTTTCGGGGTGGCCACATAAAATTTTTATAAGAAATTTTATGTGGCCATTTATTAATGGTTTAACGTCCATGTTTATACACTTATGGGGCTTGGACAGGGATCAAATAATGTCATTTGTTATGTTAAATAGCATGCATTTTCTAAAGCAATTTTTTACAATTCCATGCACTTTTAGGCGTTAACCAGTTTTGCAGACCGAGAATGGGTATTTTGAACATTATACATCCATCAAAAATTAAAAAAAGAAGAATTAATGAGGAGCTTTGATCAAATTTTTACCTCTTTAGAGGATAATAGAGGATTTTAGAAGTGGTTTTAAAAAAAGAGGACTTTAGAGGATTTTAGAGGAGCTGCAGACACCCTGATTATAAATGAGGTAACTCCACCAATTAACTGTAATTGATTTATCTGTAAAAAAACATGAAGTAAATCTAATATTATGCTTATGGAGATATATTATATTGTGGAGAACCATCCAAACCACACAAGTGGAAAATTTGCATCCAAGTTTCCACTTGTGTGCAAATCTTGCATCCACTTGTCAACATTCTCATTATCACATTTTTCTTTTGTAGTTGTGAATTTAAAATTTTCACAATACTGTTTGCTTTCTTTTAGAATTGAAATAGTTATACAAATAGTTATATATTTTGTATCAACAAAATAACTCTTCTTACCACATTATTTAAAAAATAATAATTGTAATATATAGATGTAATACCGGAAGAGAATTTAGTTTTTATTTGTATAAACTTAAGCCAATTCTTCTCTGCATTTTAGTGCAGTCAATGTTTTGGTACCTGGAACCAGACAAACAGTTTTATCACTAATCCAATCAGATGGAATTACTTCTTCTTGTAAATCTTCATTCCAAACAGCTCATTTCCGCATATTCGATTTTGAAAAAATTACATGAACTAATATAAAATGAAGAAACCATAATATAAGTGTACTAACAGACCTAATTAATCTAGCTAAATTTGAACCTTTTATAACCATGATACTTGCTAAACAATAATATTAGTAGACATTATAAGCAAAGATAAGATTTTCTTTATTTTATAAATTTATTATACTTTAAACTCATTTTTATTAATTCATTTATTACTCTATTATTCAGCAGAGTTCTGAATATATTATGTTCAAATAACTTAAGGCTCAATAACAAAGACAAATAATAAAAAAATACTAGGTTGCTAAAACATAAACATCTACATAAGATAATTAAGGAATATTGAAAAAAAATAGAAACACAAAAAAACAAAAATACTCATTATTAATATAAAATATAATAGTATAATATAAGGTATATTATAATATATGACACAATAATATCTACTTTTAATTAAGATATAAAAACAACAAAAATTAAAAAAGAAAATATTTTGATAAATAATAAATTATCATTCAAACAATTTTCAAGACCAAAAAATAACTTGTAACTTATTTTTTTACTTCATCTATCTTCATCTAATAAACTATCTTCATCTAATAGACATCACTTATTTTTTACTCATCTTCATCTAATAAACATTAATATTAATACCATTTTTAAACATTATTAGAATTTTTTTATCAAAAAATAAAAATATTACATCAGTTACTTTTTGGGCTTTTCTTATTTTACTTAAAACATCAACTCAATTCTAGGTATTTTTCATTATTGAGTTTTAATTTGTAATGTAGAATAAACACTGAAAAAAAAAAAATATTAGCAGACAAAAAGAAAATATTTCTTTATTGAAATATATGTAAATATTTCAATAAAGAAATTTTAGATCGATTTTTATAAATATAAATTTATATCAATCAATCTAAATTTTTTTCTTTTCCGCCACCTTTTCGAAATGAAGAGAATTTTTAGAAGTTAGACAAAATGCCATCAATTTAAGTTTTAGTCGCTCCATCGTATTTAATAGAAGAAGCTGTTAATAAAAAAGAATAAGAAAAAAACAACAAAAAAAAAAACAAACACAAGGAGAAATTTTTGAATATATAAAAAATGAGAATAAAAAAGTTTTACATATCTTATAAAGGTATACCTTTCACTACACCAGATAAATTAGTGCTCTTAAAGCATATTTCCACCTTTCCCCTTCATATTCATGGAGGTCACAAAATTGTTGGAAAATATTCTAAATTTTAATAGATAACAGAACTGATATTAATTGTGCGAGAACTAATATTAATTTTTTTTTTTAATTTAAATTGAACTCATTATCAAACAATTTTTTTGCTAAATAATTTAATCCTTAAAATTCCTGAATAATTAAAAATTATTTTGATTACCTCAGCATTTTAAAAATATTTCATCAATTGCAATTGATTCACCTAAAAAAAAAAAAAACAAGTAAAGCTAATATTATTGTTTGAAGTTTTAATTATCTTTATACAAATACTCATCATATTTTTAAAGTGACTGATAAAAATGGATTTAATTAAAATCACTTCATTTGTATTAAAAAATTTATATTAAAGCCTTAATCATACATTATACAAGAGTATTTTGTAATACAATCTAAATAGTTGTTGCGATATGTAATTTTTTTATCTAAAATTTAGCTTCTGTAAGCTTTAGAAATTTTTTAAAGAAATTATTGATGAATTTGGAGCTATGGGTACTAATGTTTTTATATTGTTGTAATGTTTGTATTCATTCCCTGTTAGTTTCTGTAAGTCAAAATTTTAAGGTGTTTCCATAATAAATTCTGTTATATCTGAAATTTAGTGTTAGTCTGAATAATTTAATTTCTAAAATCTGTTTTGCATTGCCAGTCTTATAACATCTTTACTTGGAACAACAACCATGTGGTTTAAAAGTGAGCTAGAAGCTTTCAACAATGAAGAAAATATTGCATTCACTAATCCTAAAAATATATTAAATCTGTCAGCAAAATCAGCTGTCAATAATCCAAGTATTAGCATCATTAAAAACTCATCTTTGCTGCATTTCATTTATTTTGGTCCAAGTAGTTAAGGATTTTTTAAAATTTCAAAAAACAGAAGTAAATGTTTTTTTAATATCATTTTATCTCTTTTGATTAATAGTGATACTGCACTAACTGATGAAACACATTGACAGATGTAAGGCCAGTATAAAAGTCGCAAGATCTATTATTTGTTTCAAGTTTGTCTTGTTTCAAGTTTGTCTGTTTTCATAGTAATAACTGATGTGGTTGAAGTTAATTTTTCAAATAAATCTTTATTTTTTTATTTCGTGCTAAAGTTCTTTTTTAAAGTTATCAATTTCCTTTTTTAATTCTTGATGCTCTATTAAAAAACAACGCTTAGCATTAAATTCAACATAATTTAATGGATCATTTTTTGAAATTGCTGTATTATATTTACATTTAATAATATCAGTCTTTGAGCATTGTAGCCTAAGTTAAACGAAAAATATCGATTTTTAAACGATAATGTTCTTTCAGGAAAAAACATGTTCTGAACATGTTTTCGATCTCTTGAAAATTCTATATGATATAAGTTCAGTATTTACACGAACGGCTATTTCCTGAGATCGATCCCTGTTTTGATTGGTTAAAAATTTTGAGTTTCGCAGAGTCCGATTTTGAAACATCTCGTTAGCCGGACTCTAAGACTTGAGGAAATTTTTAACGCATGCGTTGTTTTAGTAGGTTTAAATTCTAAACCTTGTTTTAAATTTAAAAACAACGCGCGTTCTTCTAATAGGTGAACTTAGAACTTGTTTTTTAAATTTGAAAAATAATAAATTACAATGGTGAGTTTTTCTATTAATTATAATAATTCTTATATGATGGAAAAAGATTATAAAAATTCTTTTATAACAAAATCTTATATTTACCTTCATTCAAAATAAATAGAAGGTTATAGAAGTCCATGTTTACATTTACATTAAGATATATAAAAAGTTATAGATTTCTATCTTATATTTGCGATGTCATTATAATATATCTATAATCATATTCATAATATTAATATAAGAAGAAATGAATGTTTATCATTTATACATTTTTGTTCTATTTATACTTTTATATTCTATAATAATGATATTAGATAGGATGTATGCATATTAATTATAAATTTTATTCTATATTGATTATATCTGTATAGAATTAAAATCTTTCATAGATAGTATATATACATAACTAATACAAAATATGTTATATTGATTAAAATGTTGTCTACTTAACTCATTAATAAAAGTCAGTTCATGTAGGTACGCGGAAATCGCGATTTACGGAACCGATTTTTATGCTAAAATATTGGTTCTCGATTTTTCAACTCTTTTTTAGGCAGCATGATGCAGATGTAATTTTATAAAGTTTCTTTTTAGAAACATATATGCACATAGATACTTTTTTGAAAGAAGAAAGGTTAATCTTGATTTATATATGACATTTATGTATGGTTACTTAACATTTTTGTGGATTATTTTGCTCCTAAAAATTTGGTTGATGTTCTCACATGAGTGTTTAGTAGTGGAAATGTTGATCCCCCTTTTTTTATTATTTAGATAATTTTCTACATGCATTTTCTATGCACATGCCAAATTTCAACTAAAAATAAAGCTCCGCAGATAGTTTAATTAGTGTTATACTAAGTATACTACTTTTTTTAGGTAGTCCTAGGCAAACGTTTTTTTATGGTGATTCTTATTAGAAACATATACAAACCTTTATTATTTTTAAAAGACGAAAGGTTAAGCTTGATATTTTATGAATAATATGTTTGGTTAGTATACTTTTTTATGGATTATTTTGCCAAAAATTTTGCATAAAAATTTGCTTGATGTTCTCACCTGAATTTGTAGTCGAAGAAATGTTGATCCCCCTTTTTTTATTATTTAGATAATTTTCTACATGCATTTTCTATGCACATGCCAAATTTCAACAAAAAATAAAGCTCCGCAGATAGTTTAATTAGTGTAGAACTTTTGGTACCTAATTTTGGCTTTTCTGTTGTTTGTTTGTTGTTGTTTTTTTCGTTAAGCGAAATACGGGGGCGGATAGGGGGGCCGACTGTACAGAAAAATATTAATTCTAATATTGTATTATTTTGATTTTTATTATTAGATTAAAATAAAAAATGTACTCTGCAGACAGAACTTTACTTGACTCTCTAACAGGTAGTAAGTTTTTTTATAACATCAATAATAACAGGTAGTAATTTTTTTATAACATCAATAATAACTATTTTAAATCAAAAAATATTCATAAATCATTTATGAATATTTTTTGATTTAAAATTTTTTTTTATGTAACATATAAAAACAGATTAATTCTTAATCTGTTTTTATATGTTTCATAAAAAAGAAGATTAATGTTTCAGTTTAAAACTTTTGCTTTTGAATGGATTGTTAACTAATAGTATCTGTTGACAATTTTATAAAGACACAACATATAAATAAGTTTAAAAATCAGATACTTCATTGGTTTATTCCTTGCAAAAGACTTGTTAGTATTTTTCAAATATGATAAAACTTATTAACTTATTATCATCTTTTATTATTTTTGGATTGTATACTTCTTTATCTGTGGATTAATATTTAAATCACAATACAAGCATGCCTAACGTTGACTTGTTGTTTAGATCCGGCTAGACATGGAGAGTTTTTGAGATTCCATAAGTATAAATCACGTATTTCATATATAACCACAACCAATATAATGTAATTAATCTATAAACAAAGTGAATAACCCATTCTTAATGTTAGTTTGTTGTTTATTAATATATTTTCTTTATATTTTCATTGTTAGTTTTCATTATGTTAATAAAGTTTTCATTATGTTAATAAAGTTGTTGCATTTTCCACAGAACTTACTTACAGATAGTTGCTTTCATAATTTCATAGGGTTTTGTTGTTATTTTTAGTTCGATCTACCCAGCCTATCTGCATTGGGTGCCTGCCTCAACTGCATTGGGTGGTAAGTTTAAAAATATTTTTATTGCATCCTTCAAAAAACCTGTTCATATATGTATGTATTTCAGAGCAATTGCAATATTTATTTTTTATTACACTTTTTATAACTTAGTTATAAAATTTATATCTGCTATAATTGGTATGTTTACAAACTTTTACTTTTCAATATATTAATACATTTCTTGGCATTTCTTCACAATATTTATTTTTATTTCAACTTTGTTAACCTTTAGTTACATCTTCAGCTGCTACAAGTGGTAAGTTTATAAACTATTATTTTTTAATATGTGTATGCATAATATGTGTAAAAGTATTGTTTCTAATATGTCTATGCCTATCTTATCGACTGCAAATAAATTGTAATTTTATTTTAAAAAAATTTTAAAATTTAATCCCACGACCACAACAATCTGCACAACCTTCTGCTGATAAATTTATGATTTAGAAATGTTTCTGAATGATTATTTAATTCATAATATTTTTATTTATATTCACTAATTAATACATTTGTATTATGTTATCCTTCAAAGTGCAGTAAAAGTAAAATCCAGAGCAGTATTTAACTTTTTACATTAATTAACATTTTTCAAGCTATCATTGGTTTATTATTATTACAAATAATTGGTTTATATTAAATGTTATGTAATGCCATTCAATACTAATTTAGTAACAATTTATTGTCATTAAGAGCTTACCTATCGTGCCTATAGGAGATATAGAAACCAGCACCCTGGACCGATTAGCAATCGGCCATTTTTGCGATGGGTCCGGTTAGGAGGGAATGATGGTGAATCATTCAGCTAGGCCTATCATCCTCCTAATATGGTTGCTGAGAGCTAGCATTGACAGGTGTAATAGTTTGCAAGGGAAATATTCTGTATGTTTTCAGTGTGATTAAAATTTATCGTGTAAAAAGTATAAAAGTTGTAACTATAAATAGTTATTGACTTTTAAATGCGTTTAGGATTTTTTTAGGATTTCATAGCCCATATTAAATGTTTTAAATTTATGTGTAATGTTTTATTGAGTTGATTAATATAAAATATCTTTTGCATACTTAATTACTATTCTTTTTTTTTGTTTAGTTTGTTTACTGTTTGTTTGAGTTAAGTAATATTATTTGATTTCAAACCAGTTTAATTATTTGATTTTAAAACAGTTTAACTTGTTTACAGTTTCTAAATATAATATTTATGTAACCAATACTTGTTTGTAGAAGATATGTATGAGATTTTTTAAGTCTATATTATTTAATACTTTTTTTACATGTTGTATTATTATGTTATTAATTGTTAACAAATTATTGTATATTATTTTTTTAATTTTCAAAAAATTTAATTAAAACTATGATATATTAACTCTTTATATATATATTTTTAAAGGATTTATGGGTCCAAAAAAAAGTGGAGTTATGTTTTCGGATGCACTGAAAAAAGTGTAATGTGGTAAGATTTATAAAGTTGTCTCTCTTTTTAATTAAATGCAATTTAAAAAAGTTTTTGAATTTCTATAGACATTTTTTTAAAGTTTGAATAAGTAGGGGGCGGGGCGGAGCGGGGGGGGGACGGGGCGTTAGTCGTGACACACGCCCCTCCCTAACTAATTTAGTAAAATAATCTTGTATACTAATTTCTTTTTTTCAATAAACTCAATTTAAAACCTTTTATCAAATCTCTTTTAAATTTTTTTTTTAGGTTGGAGAAGACTGGGGGGTTGGGGAGAGGGCGTTGTGCGGTGCACACATCCCAGCCATAAAGTCAATATATACAACACTTTTAAATGCTGTAAAGTAAGAAAATAAAATTTAAACTTTTTAACACATAATATAATCAGTGTTTTTTGGGTTAAAGTATTCATAAGAATGGAACATTTCACTACGAGGGTGTTAAAACGTAACAAAGACATCGACCCTTTATTCTAAAATAGACCACTAATATTTGGAAATGGAATGGAAGCAAATTGGAACAACTTTTTGTGTATAAAGGTGACATATTTTATCAGAAAAACACTCTTTCGTGTAAAAAACTTGTATTTTTTTTAAGGTTACGAGGGTGTTTCATACCCCCTCCGGCCCTCTAGACACCCTTTTATCTATAGAGTTATATAAACTTGTAGCCTACTCTTACATCTATCTTTTGATACCAAGGTATAGACATTTATATAAGATTTGACAAAGTTATAACAATTTCAGTGAAAAAAATAATAATTTTGGAACCAGTTTCTTCAATAAATCCATATATCAAAAATTTGCTACTAAAAACGCTATAACTTTTTATAGAATTATCCGATTTTCATAATTTTTTCACTGTTAAAATACTGTATTTGAGGGCTTTCTAATGATATATAATATTCTAGTATTTAATCAATTTAAAAAAAACAGTCCACGTACCTAGTT